AGAGGGTAGATGAACCAGTACTCACACTGGGCCTCCGGGCGCCGCGCACAGCATCTTCTTAGCCGCCGCCGTCCTCTCCCCGAAGGACGGCAAGGACACGGGGAGGTCCTCGGCGTCCATGTTGCTAGGGCGCGTCGCCGGGAGCGCCGCCGGGAGAGCCGCCGGGAGCGCCGCTGGGGCTGGGGGTGCTGGAGGAGCAGTAGTTGCGCCCCACTGCAGGCCTGCCCCCGCGGCCCCCACGGCCCCCGCCTCCGCGGAGAAGAGCAGCCGGGCGAGCGCTCCCCCCGTCTGCTGCTGCCAGGACGCCGACGACGAGGACGCCGACGACGCCGCGGTCGTGGGGACCAGCACGAGTACCGGCACCACTCGCTGCTGCTGGGACGACGCTGCCGGGGCCGAGGACGAGGACGCCGGCGAGAGGGCCGTCGGCGCCACCAGGCGGGCCGAGTTCATCAAGGCCCTGAACATGCTCTCTGGGAAGCTTGCGAACATCTGTGATGACGCGTCTGTCGGCGGCAGCGTCACGAACGCACGGCCAGATCCTGGAAGCAAGCACAGAAGGGTGGTTGAACGACAGGCTGGAAGGTAGAAACGACGATATCGAATCTATGTCGATTCCAATATCGCTGAGGCTGTCCATTGCTCATTTTCCTATGGCACGATAGTTCACGTGTCATAACTTGTCAAACCCGACAATTTGGTGGATAGGGTAGACATAATTAGTCGAAATGAGAGCGGGGGCGGGGGCGGGGGTGGACCCGGTGGACCGGACCAATCGGGCCACGGTTCGGGTTGTTGAATCGGCTGGCCTTCGGGTCGGGGAGCTCGCGGCCCGAACGCACAAGTTATACTTTGAGTCCAAACAGTTCCACAGCGCCGCGCGGCGCGAAGGACAGCCGATTGTAAGATCAATGAGTCAGTCTGACGAAAAGTGAAATCCACTCGCACACGCACTCAACGGAATACTGTATCGAAATCCACTGGGATGCGCGCAGAGCGAGTCTAATCCACGCGTAAAAGAGTTGTAAAGACTCGCGGATGTGCAGCCAGTGCGCGCGGCCTTGCAGCAGGTCCAGAAGAGGGTTCCGAAGAACAAAGCGGGGGTATGGGGTTGCCATGAGCGGCTATGGGACTCGTCCATACTCATCGGACTGACAGAGTTAAGCTCCTACTCAATGACACCCCCATGACGGGGCTTGCCACCCCCGAGGCCGGGGCCGACAGGCGAGTCAATAAGGACCGCGTCGACGAGGGTCGCGGGTCGCGGCGGCCACGACGGCCACGACACTCGCTCACTCACTCACCTTGCGGGTTCATGACGTGGCCTGGATGTGGACAGCTCGAGAGCACGGACGCGAGTGCCGAGTGAGGGCGGCGGCAGTGCGTCAGAGCCCAGCGGTGCCCCTCACGTCTCAGTCGAGCTCCGCGTGAGGGGGGCGAGGGGGTGGCGAGGGGGT